CATTAGCTAAGCGTTTCCGGAATTTAATCCTCCCGTCTTATTCGTTAACTAATTATGACGATAAACTAGCTGGGCTGTAAGACAGGTACAGTTTGGAACATCCTAACGGCGTTCTAGAGAAGCTGTAGTTCCTAATCCAGCCACTAGATATCGTTAGATTTGTGTTATTTCAGAGATCCCTTAATCCCCACATTCGACGACCCTAGTAAACTGTGCCTGATTTTTTTTATTTTAATAAAGGTGAACAGCATAATGGGCCTAAAAAACACTGAAACAACATAAGAACAATTGTAGTTCCGAATCTACAAAATCCAAAACATCAACCGAAGTTTCATAACGTTTAAATTTTTAATGAATTTTTTCATTAATTTTTATTCCAAGTCAAAATTTCAAATGAATTTTGATAATAAAGATGTTCTATTGCTAATGGTTGATAACAATATGTTCCACCTACTACTGAAGACTCAAAATATATCAGAGATTATACACAAAATTTAAATTTCTGATTTAAAAAAGGTACTACGGTAAATTACTAGTAATAGACACTACCAGTTATGAACACTCTTAATATGGATTGTCAATAATAAGAACCAGGTAAACTTGTAACAGAAGAGTTTTGTTGATTATTGTGCCACGTTGTTACCTCAACCACCACCTTTTCTCTCGCTAATAAAAGAAAAAAATTGGGCAAAGCAGCAGGCAGGAATATTATACCAGAATTCATAAAATATGGAGAAGAAATGGTCATATGCCTCTAGAATCTTTTTCGAAAGATTTGCTCGCATAAGAAAATACCCCAGGACTTGGAAAATAATATTATAATTCCTATTTTCAAGAACCCTTGGTAATGGGTCTAATATATTTTGACTTATTATCACTAAAATATGGCTCAATTGAATCGGTAGCCCCCGTTCATAACCTTCCCTTTTTAGGACTGAATATGTTGATAGTATGCCACATGAGAATATCGAACTATACTTTAATGTTTTGGTAAACTATGTGTTACCATTATAAGATAATTATATAAACATCTTTATGTTTCGATGAGTAAATGTTCCACAGAAAAGTCAATTAAGTACAAAAAGGATTTATAGCAATTATGGTGAGTGCGCTATAGATGGTTGCCGCCGAAATTGAGTAACGGACTAGTCGAAAAGGTTGTTAGCTTCAAAAGTGAACGATAAAGACGAAATGTAATTTATTTTTTGATTAATTATAAACAAGTCCAATTAAATTAAATTATAAAAAGATCGCAACCATGATTTTAAGATATCAATTTGCAAGTATTAAAAATGTTTTTTTATTAAACTTGTTTATTGAAAAACATTACAATCTGTCTTAAAGTACATTCATAATAGTGTTCAGAGATCACATTCACACTCTATGTATAATAAATAAGATTAAATCATAAAGGAAAATAATATATATACAATCCAGAAGAATAACATAAACTAAAAATACAAAAGAACACATGCATACCTATATACACTATTTACAATCAGGCTAGAAAACTCCGAGCCAGACTTGTCCCTCCAACCGTGGAAGGAAAAACATAACTCCAGGAGATCCCTGCACTACTATCTCAACCGCGTCACTGGGGCTAAACCCAGTGGAGATTGAGCAAGTGTGCTTTAGCCACACACACTCATGTCGTGAGCGGAGAATCTGGGGATTACCAGAACTCCAATGTTTACAAACTATAAAAGGTCGCGTGGCCACTGCCGTTTTAACCTTCTTGGAGGATTATAGGGAGGGGTGGTGCTGAATAGGGATTGTGCAAGGGATTCTTCTGATAAGTTCTTGTCTTTTAAAAATAGTATGTGGGTTCCACGTTAGTCTTCGGTCTAAGAGAAAGCCGAGATACTGGACTGTGTCTAAAAGAAGCTGGATGGAATTAAAGTGTACTGGTGGACATGAATTGAGTCGGCATTAGTATTTGGCATACTAGGGGTATGTGAAATTCTGAAAGAAAGAAGGGTTCTGGTGAAACAAAATTGAACAACGGACATACTCTGCTCTATTCAAGATTACCATCGGATAACCGAGCAATGGAGGGTGTTGGACTGATTTTTAAGGATGAGCTTTTTAAGAAAGTTCAAGTTTGAGAACCAGCCAATTCTAGAATAATATCTGCCAATGTCATTCGCTCTGTGGGGAAAGTTACTCTGGTAGAGTTCTATGCACCAACTGATGACTCATTCGTCATGGAAGTGGAACAATTCTACATTTATCTCGCTCGTGTAATTGAAAAATGTTGATATAGAAATTTAATAGTTTTGGGAAACCTCAATGCGAAGACCGGAAGAAACCATGGTTGCATGGGTTACCATGGAGGTGTGAGGATAACCAATAACGGGCGGTGCCTATTTATTTTATTATATAAGAATTCTGTATTGGCAATGATCTTGTCATCGGCAACTCTTTTTGCCACTTAATTTATCACTCCTTCACGTTCATTTATACCATATACATAATAACAAAATAAAAGGAATATTATAAAAAACGAAAAAATGTAATAAATAAACAACAAAAGAAATAAAACTTAAAAAGACATTAATTTATTGAATAATGTTAGGGATATAAGAGATGTTGAGGTCATGGTGAAAAGTTTCGTTTGTAACGCAATATAGGGCATTGACTAATTTATGAAGATAGTCAGCGAATATTTCTACTATGGTATCGGATTTTGCAGATATTTCAGTGGTGAACAGGATGTACTGAACTGTGCCGAAGACACTTCCTTGTGGAACACAAGCCTCAACTGGATAATAATTAGAGAATTCAATTCCGAAGCGGACTTGGAAGGAGTGATTTGAGAGGTAGGATTGGGATAAATAGCCCTTGGGCTTGAAAAGCAAGCCATCGTGCCATACCCGATCAAAAGCTTTTTCTATGCCCAGAAAGGCAACAATGCAATTATATTCAACAATAAACTTAAACTTTCAATTTTAATCCAAAGGAACAAAAACAAAAAAAACAATTGAAGTGAAGGTATAACCTTTATTGGTTTTGTATACCAGTCGTTTCATTTTTAGATAGCGTTAACTGCCTATTTTTAAATTTTATTTATTCATAGGTCGTGTTCGATTGTCTGCAATGAATAACATAAATACAAAAGCTACGAAAATGCTTATACATCTATCGATAATAACATTTATGATAACATTTATCAGTTTGTAAGAGGCTTTCGCAGAGTACTCATCATTATGCCTTCCATTTATTTATACTAATGGTGAATATGTCGGTATGGTGTCAGTAATCGGTTTTTGCAATGTTAATGTTAAAGCTGCCCGTCGGGAATATGCCAGGCGATTTCAGAATAGAAGATTACCAAACAAGTCTATATTTAGCTCCACGTTTCAACGTCTTATAGAAACTGGTACATCTGCTATAATACCATGTGATGATGGTATGTTTGACCCGTAACGAAATGAAGAAAGGAGTGCGACCATATTACAATATTTTGATCATAATCCAACTGGCAGTGTACAAAGAGCAGGAGCAGAATATAATATTACGCCAACTACAGTATGGAGAACTCTCATTGCAGATGGACTTCACCCTTATCATTATCAATGGGTACAAAATGTATTACCGCAAGATATTCGGCAAAGAAGAAATTATTCAGATTGGTACTTAAATCAAGTTGAGCACAATCCACAATTTTCAGGGAAAATTCTCTGTACAGATGAAGGTAGCTTTACAAGAAGAGGTAGCTTCAGATCATTTCTGGTCGCAGGAAAATCCCCATACAATTCGTGAGCATAATTTTCAGCACTATTTTCTCCGGTTTTAGCACTACTTAGGTCCGCATTTCTTGCCACCTATACTTTACAGTATGTCGAGTACCTTAGGCGAGAAGTGGGTCTGATTGTAAAGTATATATAGTTAATTCTGCCTGGTCGTAAAAATTACCTTAATTGCATCCATTTCGATGCTTTTAATCTTAAAAATAATACAGTGAACTAACATTTGTCTTTGTTTTTTAAGTGTAATATAAAGCATAAAATATAGCTCGTGTGTTAACAAAAGATATGCTTTAATTAAATCTAAGACTACTACAGTTAAATATGTACTGCTTCATTTCAAAAATAATAATAAAAGAATATTTAAGGCAAAGATGTAATAATTTGGAGAAAGATTGTGTAAAATGAATTTACCACCATGGAATCTGTCCTTTTTGATGCATCACCGCAACGAAATAAGTTAATAAAAACCATGGCACTTGGTAGTAAGTTGAAAGGGGGAGGTATAGTGTCACCTTCTTCAAAATAACTCACCCACAACTTCGATCTTGCAAACTTCCATTCAACATCCGACCTTTCCTATAACAATAAAAAAAAAAATAATTAGTAGTTTAAATCATTGTAATCTTTAGATTATTACCTTATGGAAAATAATATTAACAAGAATAGTTTATCCATAATATATAATATCCATAGTATAACTCCATAATAAGGAAAAATCTGAACGTAAGATCAGCTGAAACTGTGATGGAGGAAAATCGTTTGAGATGGTTTGGTCATGTCTCTCGAATGCCAGAGAATCGAATGGCCAGGATAGCGTTGGAAAGTAGAGTGGAGGGAAGAAGACCGCAGGGAAGGCCCAGGAAGACCTGGGAGGCTAGTTTCAAGGAGGCCTTCGACAGAAGGGATATTGACTGGAGGAGGAGGCGGCAGTTGGCTCAGGATCGAGAGTTGTGGATTCGGCTATACAAGAAGGCTCCTCACACCGCTCAGCGGTAGAAGAGGAAAAGATAAAGAAGAAGAAGAAGAAGAAGAATAGTTTAGATATTAACACTCCGAAGGATCTGAGAAATCTAACGTCTTCTCCCGGCTCTTGGAATCTTACAATCCTGCAGTGGTGGGAGGGCCTGTGTAGCGTCTAATTTTCGTACTAAAATTTGAGGATTTACGGCGTATGTGGAAAAGTTTTCATGGGAAAAGGATGCAATGGCAACTTCTATGATTGATACCAAAGCCTTTATTGGGCTGCAATATATTGCAGAAATACATAAAGCCGGGAGAAAAAATCTGGATGATTTGTGGGACTCAAATGGTACAATTTATTCCGAGTTAGAAATTGAAATATTTCGACTCATGAAGGTTTCGATTTTTACCCTGATCACAAAGATTTGGCTACCGAAAAACACCTGAACAACGTAAAGAAATAGAGCGACTGGCACCTGTCCTGGACATATTTGGAGAGTTTGCCAGAAACTGCCATCTTGTTATTCAGTTGGAGAAGACGTGACTATATTGAGAATTTGAAGGCCTTTATGAAGTCCATGTTGTAATAATGTTTGTATTAATTGTTCTTGTATCAATCCATTGTCCAATTTTTCTTGTATACAATTTATTGTCCGATTATTCTTGTATCCAATTTATTGTCCAATTATTCTTGTATCCAATTTATTGTCCAATTATTCTTGTTTCCAATTTCCTTTTATAAGTGTTTCTAGAATTCAGTGATTTTTCTTTTCGTATTTAATGGTATAAATAATTTAATGTTCAAGGTCCTAATTTTGTCAACGTATTTTTCGTTCTGATTTTAAATATTTAAAAAAAAAAATATTTAACTGTGTTTTTTACTCAATATATGTATATACACATATACACACATATATACATATACACATGTATACACATATATACATATATCAATATATGTATATATGTATATATCGTTTTCTTTATGTATATATATATATACATAAAGAAAACGATACAACACGAGTTTTCAAATATTGGGAATAAGGTCACTTAATTATTATTTAATAAACTATTGAATGTTCATTTCTTCTGTTTATTGACGTTCGATCCCGGTATTTTCTTTTCATTTGTCAAACATGGGATCCTCTTCAAAGCTAGAATTTTAAAAAATAGAGCTTCGATCAGGCCATGGACACACCGACAGTTTCTCGGCTGGTCCTATCTTTCAGTTGAGAGAAGAGGAATTTTTTCAGGCTATTTTTGCATCTTTACGATATACTTACATTGTGGTCCCGAAAAATTATTTTTATTTTAAATGATAATGGTTTTATGAATGCCATAAAAAAATATTTTTTTGGATTGCTTTGCTTGTTCTGACGGTGCTACAAACAACAGGGATATACGCTCCTCGCAGAAAATTTTCAATTACGCTGTTAGGGTAACTATTGCCTTTCAATATTTCTTTTATTCTTTGTATATTTTCTTTTTTAAAAGAAACTGAACTTAGAGCAATAGCTCTATGAAATTAATACGGCGAAAAACTTATTAGGATCTGGTAGTTGCTTCGGCGGTACATATACTAAAATTGGAACGATACAGAGATGATTAGCATGGCCCCTGCGCAAGGATGACACGCAAAATCGTGAAGCGTTCCACATTTTTGTGGGCGGGGTAGCCGAATGCGCACTGCATCGCCGTTGCCCGGCAACCTGATATTTAGACAAATGATATAAAAATAGCCACGAGTTCGCGTCCCGGTGCCAAGGGAGTCTTTTAAATCCCCGCCCACACCCTCTGGCCCGGGAAAACCCCGTATAGTCTTAACGGCGAGGAAGGGGAGGACCCCCCCAAAAAAAAAAAAAAAAATGATTGGGATCTGAAGGTGGCCAATTCTTGTTTTAATTTTTTACAGTAATAATTGTAGGTGTAGCGGTCGGCGTGATGTCTGGTACGTTGCCATAATAATCTGGCCCGGCGTTTTATATGGATTAGGTCAAATAGGTTTTGAAGTAAATTGGGTTTCTTGAGGATTTTTGAGGAGTGATCAGGAGAGGAAGCCGTCCAGACTGCTTTTTGGAGTTTAGGAACTACAGGTGAAAAAAAATGGAAATAATCTGGCTTTTTTTGGGTATAAAAAGTTTTTCCTTGGTGTCCCGCGTCAGGAATTGAGTGACAACCTCCTTCTGGTGTTTGAACGGAAGATATTGAGAATAATTTTTGGCTCGGTGAGAGAGGGAGACACCTGGATAAGGAGGAAGAATCAGAATTTTTACATCTCCTCACAATTATATTTTCCTATTTAAATAAATTTACGATGAATAAATAAACCAATTATTTTTACCTGCATCCCCGTGCACTAATTATATTTATCCGATAATTTTTGAATTTATCGTTTTTAATTCTTATATCTTTGTATTCGGCGAGTTTATTATTCCATAATTCTGAAGAATTATGGTAATCGTCAATAAAATACATATTTTCTTTCGTTCGTTCACTCCATGTTGCCCGCAATAAGACGCACCGATCCGACGGCTGTTGGATATACAACGACACTGTTCGACACGTTGAAGCATGTGAAGAGATGACGCATTCGACAGGCAACAACGATCAACTTGTAGCATGCGGCAAGGGACATATTTTTTGTTGCTTTGTGTTCCTTCTATGGAAAGACTGTGTAGCATGAGTCAATGCCACATGCTGCATGTTGCCTGAAAGATGCCTCAGTGGAATTCCGCCTTAACAAACATCAAATAAATTAATATACCATTAAAACTTATTAAACAAGAAGATTATTATAAAAGTGGAGTATTTGTAGTCCAGTTGTAGAATGATAAACAAAGATCACGATTATTCAATGATTTAATGAAAAACACAACATAACGTAACTTTTAAAAAAAAATATTATACTTTATTGAGAAAAAAATACATTTTGCCTCAATTGAGGGCACTGAGTATTTAGGATGAATGGAACAAAAACATACCATATATACAATAAAAGAAAAACAAGATTATAACAAAAAATAAAATAAAACTTGGAGTAACAGAATAAATCAATCATGATACAACATTAAATAAAAAATAAATAAATAAAAACACATTCATACTTATTACAATATTTACAGTCAGCCGAGGGAGCTCCGAGTCGGGCCTTTTCCCTCACGTGTGGAGGATAAGGCAGGACTTCAAGAGATCCAAGCGCTTCTCTCTCAGTCGCATCACTAGGATGGGAATCCAGTGGAGACTAAGAGAGGGCACTAAAGCCACATACGCTCATGACTTGGGTGGAGAAGCTGGCCATCGCCAGGACTCCAATGACGTCTTTACAAAAGATCTCGAGGTACTGCCGCTTCAACCTTCGAGGAGGATTGTAGGGATGACTGGAACTGCTGGATAAGGATTGTGCTAAGGAATTAGGATGATGGATTAGGTTCTGATGAAAATTTGAAAATCGAGATGGAATAACGTCAAGGACATAAGGGATGTTAAGGTCATGATGTAAGGTTTTGATCGTAACATAATAAGGAGTATTGACTATTATACGGAGGACTTTAGACTGGAAGGAATGGATGCGTTTGATGTTACCGTAACTTATCCGCTCAAAAGTCTCCATTGAATTGTTTTGATGAAAACCAGCTCTACTTGTATATATATGAAATTTCGATTAGTTTTCTATGGAGCAACTGTGAATTACCTAAATTAACAATTTTTCTTTTATTGCTTTCTATGAAAGAGAAAACTCGACCACAATAAATAAAAAGTTGAACTTAACTCCTTTTATGTTTAAAATCTGCCATATATCAAATTAATTTTTTTTTTTATAGGGGAGGGGATTTGGTCTAGAATCACCTCTCACGGTTTGGCCAATTAGAATTGAGACATCCTGTATACACCAAACGCTGAGAGAGGTGGGACGATTCTAGAACAAAAAAGTTCATTTGATGCATAAGCAGATTTTGAATTGAAAATAAGTTAACTCCAATGTTTTTCTTAAGGTGGTCACGTTTTTACGGAATACGAAAAAGTGCTCAAACACTATTCAAGATAATTAAATTCTAATTACTACATCGTAAAGTAGACAAAATATTTCTTTGAGTAAACACTGGATTATTTGTTTATTGATAAATATTACAATCTATCTCGATAAAGGACATTTATAATAGAGTTCTAAGAGCACATTCACGCCATATTTACAAATTGAGTAAACAGTGATTTAATTTACTAAGGTCAATAATAAAAGGGACTTTTAGGAGGTCTTATACTTGAATATTTACAGTCAGCCAAGGGAGCTCCGAGTCGGGCCTTTTCCCCCACGTGTGGAAGACAAGGCAAGACTCCAAGAGATCCCAGCGCTTCTCTCTCAGCCGCATCACTAGGATGGGAATCCAGTGGAGACTAAGAGAGGGCCCTAAAGCCACATACGTTCACATAGTACAACGGCTGCATTGGACTTCCTGAATGTCTCTTTTTATCATTGTCCCTTTTAGTAAAATAAATCACTGTTTTCTCAAAAAAATTTGGTCTACTTCACGAAATCGTACTTAAAATTTAATTACCTTGAACAGTTTCTGAGCAATTGCTTCTAATTCGATAAAAACATGATTACCTCATGAAAAACGAATCAAATGAAAATTTTTGTTGGACATTTTTTTCTGAAATCACCCCCCAGAGTTTGGCCATTAAGAACTGAGACATCCTGTATATTAGGTCAAAGTTTTCAACATCTACATACTTACCGAAATAATCTGATAAGAATTGGACATCATAGCGATGAGCATATTAAGCAGTACAATGATGTTGATGACGGAATATGATCCAAACATGAGGAGAGCCCAAAATCTGGTGAATCCTTTAATTCCTGTCAGTTCAAAATTGGTTAAGTCGACAAGACCGAAGCTAGCCCAGAAAAGTGATTGTGAGGTCTCGAACAAACTATAATACATAACAAATTAACTGAATTCATAAATATGTCAAGCAAATGTATTGCTTTAATATGAATATTGTTAATTCACAAGTGAATTACTTCATTTTTAATTGTTAAAATTGTTAAATATAAAGTTACAAATATTTGCGTTAGGAATTGAATTTTAATTATTAATGATAAATGTCGTTTCTTTGCTAATAGAGAAACTCTCTTATGTTTTATTATTACATATATAACAGAAAATGCAATTCGAATTTTTAATACAGACGGATAATCGAATGTAGCTTGTATAACTTTCAACGAGGTCCCTGATGGACGTGTTTTTAAAGTCACAGACGAATACAAGCAGGTATGTAAACACATGAAAATTGCGAATTTAAACACATTCGCGAGTCCTGCCCATGCGATAAATTTTTATAAACCACTTCTTATTTCGTCTGCCACAAGTTATTAAATTGCTAGTGATTTAGTGAACTATAGTGTTTAGAAACAGTGATATTGAACAATTAACAATTCGTTCATCAAATGAACACAATACTATGAGTAATCGCTTATTTATAAAGTTTATCGAACAGTGATAAGAACAATAGTGTTGGTTGGAGAGGTTAACTATTACATTATTATCTATAAGTAGTCTCCCCCACTCACTCAGTGGCCGGACGGCTGTTGGAGGGGTTGGGTCACGTCGCTCGGCTCTCCACCGTCTCCGTAATTATTTTCACATCAAACTATTTTATCTTTTCAGCCAGATTATTGAAATGCTATATTATCAAATGATAATGCCTAGCAAAAGTAAAAGATCGAGAAGTTTAGGTAATAACAGCTCTCAAAGCTCACCTGTTAAGCAAAGACCAAGGTGTTCCAACAGGAAAAAACCACCATCAACACCTGACAGACCTACTGAAACCAATACTGGTCCACAACCTGGTTCTTCAACACAAATAACAAACCAATCTCCGTTTTTCACCACCAATCCATAATAGTTATTATCATCATAAGATACAATGGAAGCAGCACCAACCCCAGAGAGCCAAAACCACCTTCAATATTTGTTCTAAATATTAAAAATTTTCCTTTATTCAGGCAGCATCTCAATAAAATAATTGACAACGGTAAATACGTATGCTATAGTAGAACCAATGACACCAAGTTGATGCCAGATTCCCCTGAATCATATAAAAAAATACTAAAATACTTGACTGATACAAAGGCAGCATCCCATACATATCAGTTATTCCAAGAGAGAGCACTAAGAGTTGTAATAAGAGGCCTCCAATCATCAACTCAACCTGATGCAATCAAAGCAGAATTGGCAGAACTGGGTTTCAGTGTCCGCCAAACTGTCAACGTATATAAAGATAACAAAGAGCAACCAGGTACAAACAACAAAATAGCACTACTACTATTTTTTGTATACTACCTATAGTGCACCATTGTGGTTGGTAACATCAATAAATTAAGACGCCTGTACTATACTAGTATAGTTGTTGAAAAACCTTATGCAAACGGGAAATAGTACAATGTCATAATTGCCAATTATATGGCCATACTAAAAGCTATTGCCACCGCTTACCACAATGCGTGAAGTTCGGGCAGCAACATAAGTTGGAAGATTGCAATATGTCCAAGCAAACTCCTGCGGTCTGCGCATTATGCCATAAAGATCACCCTGCGAACTACAAAGGATGCCAGACATATAAAATCTTAAAATAAAGATTACAGACAGCACCGAGACAGGAAGAGACTTCCAGGACTCACAGACCACCAATGCAACCCTCAAGATTTGCAAACAAAGAAGTATCTTATGCTCAAATGTTAGGAGAACTAGAACAGCATTCTCAACCTCAGGCCCTGCCGCAAACTCAGCCACTACCTCATGTTTCACCACCCGATCATAATAACACCCAAAAGTTCAGTCCTCACCACATATCATACATTCCTCCTCCTAACCATTCCAATGACCTTGCCAGCCTCCTTACTTCATTCCTCTTCGAAATCAAATCCCTTATCACCCCGCTCATCACCTTACTTAAAAATGTCATAGCTAATCTTATCCCACCGCCAAGAATTGATTGAATGTCCTCAATAAAACCCCTTTCCATTCTCCTTTGGAATGCGAAAGGTGTTCGAAATTACATCAACGAACTAACCTTTTTTCTACAGGACAATAACATAGACATAGCCCTAATAACTGAGACCCGACTAACTAACAAAAGACAGTTCAACATACCTGGCTACAAGGAAGAGCACATGCTGGCACTGCTTTCATCATCCACCAATCCCTCTCCCATCACTTGTATCCCTTACCAGTTCACAATTTCCTATAAACCTCAGCAATAATTATACAAACTTCACCTTTTCCTGTTACAATTGTCGCAGCATACTCTCCACCTAAAAAACCAATACCTGAACCTAGCTTCATTTCCTTTCTTAATTCCCTAGGACATCATTTCCTTATAGGTGCAGACCTTAATGCCAAACATCAGCAATGGGGAGTCAGAACCACGAATTCCCGCGGGCGAACGTTGTTTTCTGCACTTAATTCCCATAACTGCAGCATCCTTTCTCCTGATACTCCTACATACTGGCCAACTGATCCTAACCGTAACCCTGACATCCTCAATTTCTTCATTCATAAAGGTCAAAGGCCGCTAAATTACTCAATTCTACGGTTCGATGACATTTCCCCAGATCACAGTCCGCAAATCCTAACCCTTTCCGCATCTCCTACTCTAAGGTTATCTCCACCCTCATTCATCAGAGGCCGAGTCAACTGTTTTCCGCCAAACAATAACAGATACAATAGATCTCAGAGTATCCCTAAAAACTCCTGAAGACGTAGCTAATGCAGTGAGTTCCTTCACCAGCTAGATTCAACAAGCAATCTGGACTGTATCCTCACTACTCCCCTCCAAAAAAAAAAAAAAACCCTTAAAAAGAATCCTCTGCCCCAATACCTTACTGACCTTATTAAAACCAAACACCAATCTAGGACCCTCTGGCAAAGAACCAGGCATCCTGATGATCGGATCATAATTACTATTCCAAACAGGTTTAAAAAACTGGCTTCCTTTAGATCCTAATCCTACAATTCCTACCTTTCTTTCCTCTCCACCGAAGACAACTCTCTTTGGAAATTGACCAAAAAGATCCTTAAATACCACTTTATTTCCTACCTCCTCCGACGAGATGATGGAACCTGTTCTTCGTCAGATGAGACTAGAGCTGAAGAATTAGCCAAACATCTATCCAACACATTCACTCCAAACCTCGAACTCCATCCCACCCACAATGCAGAAGTTAAAGATTTCCTCTCTTCTCCAATTTCTCTCTCCTTACCTCTTGAAGCTGTCAACCCCTCTGAGGTCAAATTCATTATAAACAGCTTGAAACCTGGAAAATCCCCTGGGCACGAACTCCTTACTTCCCAGTCAACTTCCCAATAAAGCAATCATATACCCACATACCTATATAAATGTATCCTCCGCACAACTCACTTTCATCTAATATGGAAACACTCCATTATTATCCTCTTTCCTAAACTAGGTAAAAATGTTAATAATACCTCATCCTATAAACCAATAAGCTTACTTCCGATCTCATCTCAAAAATCTTTAAAAAAACCTTTTCAAACATATCCTACCCATTCTCGAAACCCACAATACCCCCTCCTATCAGTTTGGATTCTGCTCAAGACATTCCACTGTTCAACAAGGCCTCCGCGTTGTTGACCATATTTCCTCCGAGCTTGAAACCAAGCAATATTGCAATAGTGCCTTTCTGGACGTAGCGCAAGCTTTCGACCGGGTGTGGCACGATGGCTTGCTTCTCAATCTTAAAACCCACTTGCTCCAATCCTTGTACCTAGTGCTCAAATTCTACCTTTCAAATCTTTCCTTTATAGTCCACTGCGGCACCGAATTTTCCAATAATTATCCTGTTGAGGCTGGTGTTCCAAAAGGCAGTGCCTTGGGCCCAGTTCTCTACACTCTTTTCACAGCTGACATCCCAACCCATGCTTCTAGCAACATTTGCTGACGATACCGTCATCCTATTATCCCACCCAGACCCCATCATCCCCAAAACCTACAAAGACACATCTCTCTAATAGAGCAATGGTGTAACAATTCGTGCCTCAAGATCAATGAATCCAAATGCAAGCATGTCACCTTTACCCTCCGAAGCAGATCCAGTCCACCTATCCTTTTCAACTCAGTACCTCTTCCCATCTCAAACACAGTTCGGTATCTTGGATTCCTTTTAGACAAAAGACTAATATGGAACCCACATACCAGACTTAAAAGGCAGGAACTTAACTCACGATTTGGCCAGTTATACAGACTACTTAACAGAAAATCTAACCTCTCAATTGAAAACCAACTATTAATGTACAAGACTATACTGAAACCCATCTAGACCTACGGACTTGAACTGTGGGGGACAACTAAATTTTCAAATATCAAACGCATCCAATCGTTCCAGTCTAAAGTTCTTCGTATAATCGTCAATGCTCCTTATTATGTTACGAACAAAACCTTACATGATGACTTTAACATCACTTATGTCCTTGAGGTTAGTCCATCCCGATTTTCAAATTTTCATCAGAACTTAATCCATCATCCTAATCCCTTAGCGGAATCCTTATCCAGTACCAGTCATCCTATAATCCAGCTCGAAAGTTGAAGCGGCAGTGGCCTCGAGATCTTTTGTAAATACGTCAATGGAGTCCTGGCAATGGCCAGCTTCTCCACTCAAGTCATGAGCGTATGTGGCTTTAGTGCCCTCTCTTGTCTCCACTGGATTTCCATCCTAGTGATGCGGCTGAGAGAGAAGCACTGGGATCTCTTGGAGTCTTGCCTTATCCTCAACAGATGGGGGAAAGGGCCTTATCCTCCCGACTCGGAGCTCCCTCGGCTGACTGTAAATATTATAAATAAGTATGAATGTGTTTTATTAATTAATTAATTTGTTTATTTAATGTTGTCTCATGTTTAATTTATTCTGTTAT